TAGGGAAAGTGTCCAGCGGGATAGGGGCTGCTGCCGAAGTCCTGGTCAATCTGTACATGAACGATCACAGACCTAAGACCCAAGCCAGCTCTCCAGACGTGGTAAGGATATGCCTCCATGGCCTTCACTGAAGTCATGGCTCGTGGGGTGCTCATGGGCTCAAGGATGGCCCAAGCCTTCTACGGGATAGCAGAGGACTCCAAATGGGCCAACCAGAACAGAGGTTAGAGGCAGACTGTGTTTCCTGGAGGGCAAGCCTCACTTGGGTCTCTTGTGGACCACTGCCAAGATAGGGCGTCTTCCCTGCTCTCTGTGGCCTGAAAACCAGCCTAGAGAAAAGCCCAGGTGTGTCTGTCTGCACAAGCAGCCATCCTTGGCCTGATGTTCAGTGTCCAACGTGAACAGCCCTTTTGCATGAGATGGAGACACAAGTAATATAAAGAAGAGAGCCCTTTACTTTCAATTCTCTCTTCCCAAAACCAGCTGCTCACCACCATCACTGGCGGTTTGAATCACCAGTGTTTTCAGTTTCATTTCGGCACATTCTCCCTCGCCTCCCACTGCATTGGGGAATTTAATTGGCAACCTGGTGACCCTTAAGACAGAACTTTTCCCTTTTCTGCCATTTGCTTGAACCAATCTGATGCCACAAGCTTTTCTTTGTCCTGTTATCCCTGCAGAGGGTCAAGGTTGGGTAACACATCCTTAGCAGGGCTGGTTTCAGTAGCCTTACACTAGAGCCAGTCTACACTTACCCCCTGGGACAGACCCCGAGGGAACATCACTGGGCAGGCATATTTGTGAGTGTCGCCCACTGCATTGGGCAACATCACTCTCTTCTGAAGTCAGAGCAGCCAGTGGAATTGGGGGAGCCCCTCCCCGCCTGGTGGCCACTAGCCTGTCTGGGAATAAAACTCACAGTGGCCCCTGTGGGATATGGTTCTCGCGCTCTGCTGTGGTGACACTAGCAGCAGATAGGAGGTTCACAAGGTCCCCGTGATTCCGTTTGGAATTTCTAAGAGCCCAGGCCTAGCATGGAAAACTTGGAGTTCACCCTAACGCTGCTCTTCTCTCTGGATCCCCAGGACTCTATGCGGAAGGTCTTCCCCCTGAACCTGGGTGGTAGTGACACCTGCCACTTCTGTAAGAAGCGTGTGTACGTCATGGAGCGGCTGAGTGCGGAGGGCCACTTCTTCCACCGTGAGTGCTTCCGCTGCAGCGTCTGCGCCACCACCTTGCGCCTGGCCGCCTACGCCTTCGACTGCGAAGAAGGTAACCTCCAGGGGCCACGACCGAAACGGCATTAGGCTCCGTCAAGGCCTCAGATGTGGCCTCACCCCGGGTTCCTGTCCACTTCGAGGCTCTGGGACATCCAACACTTCCCCAACAGGGAGTATGATGTCGTCCAGAAAGAGGTGGCATAGCACTGTACTATGAGTACCACAACCTCAGCTCAGCTCTCCGGGTTCAAATCCAGATGGAACTGAATCGCCTTCTAGCCATACAGCCTTGGGCCTGGTATTTAACCTCCAGGTTCTTCATGTCCTCCTCTGTAAAATGAGGATAATATGCATAACATACTTAACTCAAGGCCGCTGTGAGGATCGAGGTGTAGCTTCACAGGAGGCATTTTGAGCAGTCTGGAGTGCAGTAAGTCCTGCGTAAGGTTTCCCTGTTGTTACCATTACTGCCGTGGTTATTGTTGCTGTTGTAGCCCAGAGCAAGGAAGTGGCCCTGGCAGGGGCCAGTCACCGGCGTGTGCCCCACCTTCTTGCCCATCACTGCCGCCATTGGTTCTGAGCCTTTCCCACCCACTAGGATCCCAGAAAGGACGGAGGGTGTCGGTACTCAGAGCTGTCCATTTTGCTGCCTGGCAACTGGTCTTGTGAAGAAGCCTGGCCTGGGGACCAGCAGTTAGTGTAATGGCTATGTCGGTAAACTCTCATGTAGCCAACCGTGGTTCGAATCCCGGACCCAGGGACTTAAGCTCACGCCGGGCGCGTGTGTGTGCGTGCCCAAGATCCCGGGAGGAGAATGGAGGATAAGGGATTGTGGCGTGGCCATCCCTCCTGGAGGTGATTTCTCTCTTTTTATCTCTCTGTCTCTCTCTTTCTGGCGAGTACACAAGCCCTATAGCAAAGAACCTCTCAAAAAAAAATAATTAAAAAAAGAAGCCTGGCCTGTTTGGCGTGAGGAGCTTAGCCCTGACCTTAGCAGAGCCCCAGGCTGCAGCCTGTCTCCGAGGCAGCAAAGGTTCTGCAGCCACATTCCAGCCACATTTCAGCATGGCTTGGAATAGGCAGGCGACGGAAGCCAATCCCTAAGTGTGAGCTGTTTGGACCCATTTCACCTTTGGTGCTTTCTGACTTGGTCAGACGTGGGCTCTTGGCTTGTGTCTCCGTGGCTCTGGTGCACAGGAGAAAACCTTTTGTGTCTGTGTGTGTCTGTGTGTCCTTTCTGCAGGTAAATTTTACTGCAAGCCTCATTTCATTTACTGTAAGACCAATAACAAGCAACGGAAGAGACGGGCAGAGCTGAAGCAGCAAAGAGAGGTATGCTTTTATACAAGTGTGGGAAGACTCCGAAGTAGAAGGCTTTCAAGGGTTCTTTAAAATGTTCTGGTCCTGGAAGGATTGAGGCTACTCACAAAGAAGACAGCCTCTGCTTCCTGGCGTGGCCGGGTCCTTTGCCTCGGTCTGTTGACCCTGCTCTGGGTGTCAGATGCCAGCTGCCAGTAGAGGTTATGCTGGCTTCCAGTAAGAAGCAGGGAGAGCCTTGCCCATGTGCCAGGGTGGGTCTGCGTGCTCAGCCACATGAAAGCTACATGGTCCCTCTGTGTCTCAGGCCCACCTTGGAAGAACGCGTGGTATGGGACAGAACTTCTGTGGTTTCCGAGTCTTCCCAGGCTCTCAGGTGTCAGCAAAGGGAACAGCCCACCGAATTTATTACTGGTAGTGCACCCTCTGGCAGTTCTTAGCAAGTTCCTTCTCTTCGGCTTGATGAGTCACCTATGACCACTAAAGATCCCCAATTTTAAACTTTTTTCTAATTATACAAATAATAAAGACTCCATGTAGAAAAATGGGGAAATAAATAGAAACATATAAAGAAGGGAAAGTTAAGTCACCTATAATCACTCTACCCTGCGAAAAATCACAATTAACATTATGTAACATCCCCTTCTAGACTTTTTCCTATGTGGATATATTTCTCTTAACTTACATTAGAGTCCTATCTCTACAGTGGAATATATATATATATATATTCCTTTTTTGCTACATAGGATATCAAGAACATATTCCAATGACACTAAAAATTCTTTTGAAATAATCTTTAATGCCTATAAACATAAGGCCTATAAAACGCCTGTTTTAGTAGACCATCAATCATTTATTTCACTAGTTCTATATTGTTAGACCTTTACATTGTTTGCTATTTTTATCTTATAAATATTTTTACAATAACCATCCTTTTATGCATATCCCTATCCATTTTTCAAATTATGTATATACTATGTATCATTAGAAATGTAGGGGTCAGCCAGTGGCATAGTGGTTAAGGTGGCTGGATCCCACATGGCCATCTATGAGGTTCAAGTCCCAAACCCAGTGGCTTGAAAAACACTGTGCATGTGTGTGAATGCCCCAAATCCTGCAAGGATATAGAAATGGAGGAGAAGGGATTGTGGTATGACCGTCCCTCGTGGGGAAGGGGTGCGTTCTTGCTTTCTCTATTTCTTTCTCTCTACAGCAAATGCACATGCCCCCTAACAAAGTAGAATTTTTTAAATTGGGATTATGTGTAAAAGGGCATGTATATTTTGAAGGCTTATGAACCCTATGGTCAATTTGTCCCCCGAAAATCATGCCTATATTCAATACTCTCCTCAACAGTGAATGGAGGCTGTGACAATTTGAGGGGCTGGACATACGACACAGAGTGTGCCAAGGTCAAGTCTCTCGGTCTGGTCTGTTGGAGGAGTCCTCAGTGAGACTCAAAGACTAACTGCCCTGATATTGATCTTTCTCAGGAGGAGGGGAAGTGGCAAGAGCAGGAAGCCCCTCAGCGAGACCCTCCCACCGAAAGTTGCGCAGTGGCCGCCATCAGCACTCCGGAAGGCAGCCCCCCAGGTATCTCCACCTCCTTCTGTAGGAAGGCGCTGAGTTGGCCCCTCAGGCTGCCGAGGGCCCTCCTTGACATTCCCCGGAGCCTTCTTAACTGGATGCAGGGACTCCTGCGCTCTGTCGGCCTCCATATCAGGGAAAATGCTTACAACTACTGCTACACCTACGAGCTCCTGAGCCTCGGGCTGCCGCTCCTCTGGGCATTCTCTGAGGTCCTGGCCACCATGTACCAGGAATCCGAGGATTCCCTCGAGAGCATCCGCACCTGGGTGCTCAGGTGCTTCCCGGTCAAGCTCCGCTGAAGCAGCTGGCCCCGTAGTGCCTTAACATTTCCAGAGATGGCGATGTGTTTGCGGTTTCCTAAGGCTCTGCCAGGAAGCCTAGCGTTCGTTATCCAGTTTGCTCACAACCAAAGAGTTTCACGTTGGCCACCTCTTCCTGGCCACGTCAGGGTGAACATCTGCTCATGGTCCTAGGGCCAGGGATAACATGAAGGATTTTTTTTTTTATAGCTTTGTACTTTTTTTATACCAAAGCGAGCCGTATTTCTGAGTTTACATTTCAATTTTTAACATTAAATAACCCAAGAGAAAGCATTTTTTCTATGAGTGTCCGTCTTTCCAAACATGGGTTTGACGTCAATAGCAGGTTTTACAAAACCCTTTCAACATGGCAGTGAGTTGCCAGCCACTACCTGCAAAGTTCCTGTGCACAAAAGTGCGTGTGCCATCTCCTGACCAGTGCCTTCTGATTTATGTACCTGTTGTCACTTATCAACAGGGGCCATTTTTTGCAAGATGAAAACATAATTATTTTAGAAGAGAAGAGTAGAAGGGCAGAACAGTGAAACCTGCTGAAGCACATGGCCTTGTGTAGTTGACAGTTATCTGTCCTCCTGGGAGAAGGGGACTGTTTTGCTCCCTTGTTTTCATGTAAAGTAGTTTCTTGAAGGTTTTCCCCCTCCCAAATCACAGCCAAATGACATAGAACCACAGGGTTGCAGCCAGATTGC